ATATAAAATCCTCTTATTTTTGTTCATTTCTATGGAGTTACCTTCTTTCAGGTATCTCCTAATGTCTTGTAACAATGCTGACTTCTATGCTTGTCACACTATGCAGTGTCATTATTGTCATTTATGCCAGCAGTTGCTTCGAGCTATGAAAAAGGCTACAAAAGTTCAGATTTAGGTATTACTGTTTGTCTTGTTAGCAGATACTGTTTTGTTTTTTTTTTAAATAAAACCCATAACAAGCAGTGCTGCACATTATTTTGGTTAAAGGTTAAGTAGGTATATTTGAGTAGGTGATCACTTCAGCCTTGCTTACTGTGATTTATAAGAGATTGACTGTGTGAGACCAAGCATTTGATTGTTTAGGAATAACATTTTTAGACTAAAACCATTTTGTCTGGCTCATTCTTCTGGCTATGAAATAAATTTTTATGGTGTTACTTTGATTCTGATTGTCCATTCTACAGTCTGAAAAATTACCTGTGAATGCACGCTCTTGATTTTTATTGGCTTTTTGCATCATCTGTTTTTTTTTATAGAGAAATGTGCATCTGAATAGCAATGCTCACAGATTTTGATTTCTTGTTGTTTTGGTTTAACTTGCTTAGATTATGTCTAATATAGTAGAAGTCTGATTTAATCTTTAACTGTGATGGAAATAATTACAATGCATCTTTCTTATTGAGTTTGCACGATATCATTTTCCTTTGGTGTAAGAACTGGAAGCCATGTATCCTTGCAGTCATTTATTTCACAGAAAATTTATTTTAGGGAATTGATATCTTTGAGGTTCTTGCCCCACTGTTGAAATAGGTTTGGACTCCAAAGGTGTAAGGTACCTTTATGTGTAGATAAAGTATTACTGTATGAGTCTAAAATCCATACAAAATCAGGCTAAGCTAGATTGCTTGCTTCACCTTTTTTTTTTGTTCTTGATTTTTAACATGAGCAGCGTTAAAGCTGGCTTATGTTCTTAAGTGCTTATATACTGCCTGTACTGTTCTCAGATGATTAGTTTAAGGCTCTTGTTGTAACCATAGCTAATTTTACTTTTTAAAAATTTTACTTTTCTTGTGAAGTTGAATGCTGTAGGAGCCATTTCATTTCTGCACACCATGTATTTTTGTATTTCACAGAACTACAACACCTTTTCTAGATCACTTAAATATTCCATATAGCACCTGCTTGCTTACTTCCTCTACTGTATGAGGTTAAAGCTTTTTTCTCCTAACCTACAAGCTTTTGAATGTGACCATGTCAGTCATGAGAGACGATGTAATGTGTGTGCCAGCACTTGTATACTTTTATCTTTCAGTAACCAAGAGGGCACTGGGTTGTGTTTATTATAGGAGTGCCACGGGGCGTTTGAACAGCTCCATTATTGGCCACATGACTTACTTGCCCTCAGTCTTTGTTTCATTTGCATTGAGAAAGCTAAAAACAATTTCCAAGAATCACCTGGATATTTTCTTCCTTGGTGGCATTCTCAGATTCTGAAAGACTTCCAGGCTCTGGAAGGTGGCTGGTAGGAAATGAATCATGAATATGAATCAGCGTCTCTCCACCCTTATATCCAAAATGCTGTTGCTAGGATATTCTTCTTTGATGATGTGATAAGAGTAGCAAACACCTTTTTGAAATTCACTCTCTGTTATCCTTTCTTTAATTTCATTCAAATTCAGGCTGCTTGTGTCTCTCTGCAAGACCTTGACATAATCTTATTCTATCTTTGCATCTGCTCTTTGTGTTTTGCAGCCTTTGCTTCTCCTGAGTCTTTCTCTGAGTTCCAGTTTTTTGTTTCGCTTCCTTTTTTGTCCTGGATTGTAATTTACTCTTGTATGTGTGCACTATACTAACTCTACTATGCAGCCATGGATTAGGGTATGCTTTTTTCCCTTTCTACGGAATGTATATACTTCTGTTTGAAAAAACATTGATTTTTGTTAGCTTGTTCTTGCTCACTCTTCACACCCACCCTGTTGTTACAGCCCATTGTGAAAATGAGCAGTTAAAAACAGAAGTGTTTTCTCAATTCACAAGGTGAATTCATAAAGGTCTTCATAAATTTGGATCTGAATAATGTTTTTAATTGAAATTTTATTGTTGTTACTTGTTTTTGAAGTAACACTAAATGCTAACAGAAAGGCTGTCAAGCTGTTTAGTTGGTGATTAATTATATTTTATATTTGAATAGAAAGAATTTTGGTTAAAAGGGACGATAAAGTAAGACATATGTATAAGTTACTCAGAGAAGTTTAATTTTCCTAAGTTGTGGTGTTTTTTTTTCTTTTAAGGAATAAGAAGGAAGTGGAAGAGAAAATAAATTTATGTTCACTTATTAGCTTATGTTCTTTTATGAGAGATGCCACAAATTAATAATAAAGAAAGAATTCTTGTGGCTGGAGCAACTTGGAGAATATATTTTTAAAATATTTCTTCTTCAGCCTTATATGAGCCCTGTAGCTCAAATATCTTGAGCTTCCAAGTTGTTTTGGGGTTTTTTTTCAGCTACATTTAGACAGAACATCTGGAGTGGTTTTGTTTGGAGATATAACTTGATGTGGCTTTCTTCAGGTGTGGCAGAAGATTTAAAATGCCTCAGAGAACTATTGTATTTCTTTGAAGTGTTTTCAAGGAAGTATTACAGAAGTACTTCATCCAAAGTCATGAAACACATTTTTATGTTTAATGTATTAAGACATATAATTAAAACAGACATAAGAAAATGACATTAACTCTCATTTAAAGACAGTTGAATCAAATACAGAATTAAAAGATGTTTTATGAGCATCTTCAATGAGTAATTCTTTGGAAGATTTCCCAAGACAACTGGTGATACAAAAAACATAGCGCAGGAAATAATTTAATGTATGTTCTGCTTTGCTTTTTTGACTCTTAGGGATGCAAAGGATGCAAAGAATCAGATATGGGGGGAAAATGTTAGTTGTGATATTTAAGGCTATAAAGGTAATCCCAGTTCACTAAGTAAACCAGTTCTCCTGGCATCTTGTGTGAGAGCAAGGTCGAAAGATACTTTCCTTATTTTGAGTGATATTGGGCACTATCATTCAGCAAATAAGTGAAAATTCAGCCTATTTTCCTCTCTGAAGATTAGTACAAATCCCCTGCTTTTCTGTCTTCATGTGTTTCCTTTTCTGTTATGGAGCAACAGAAGCTTTTTCCTTTTTAGTTTTTGTTTTCGCTTTGGAGTTTGCATTTGTTTGTTGGTTTGGTTTATGTTGGGGTTTTTTTTAAGAGGCTGGAGACCATGTTAGTAGTGAAAGCAGAGGGTTGGGTCGTGAGGCTGTGGGCCACCCAGGCCAGGTTTAGTTCCCATACTCTTACAGACTTTAATACTTTGCAGGACGTTAGATGGGAGTTTCTTTTCCACAGCACTTGGAAAGTGTTTCAGGTACTGTTTTGAGGCTGTCCATAGACTTTGGAGTATGTAACTCTGAGTGCACATCCATCATATTTTTAGATTTATTTTAGTTCGAATGTGCTGTTTTGTGTGCTCTCTCTACCTAACTGATTTCTGATTATGTGGTGGGACCTCTGGGTCTTCTTGAAAAGCCTGAGTTATTATAGAGCTTGAAACAGGCAGTAGTAGATGACTCATCTGATAGGTAGGTAAAAGGCACTATTTGGGAGAGACCTTCATATGACTCTCAAGTCCAATGTAAGAGACAATGCCAAAAACTTAGATGCCGAACTGCAGGTGCTCAGAAGTCTTTTGAAAAACTAGAATTAATTTGTTATTAAATAGACAATTGGCAGAATATTCAAGCAAGGAAACCTGACTGACTGGTGCTGAAAGAGCTCCTCCCCTTTCTTCTTAGCCATGTGCTCCCACAGGCTGCCCCTTGCTGGTCTCAGGGGTCGTTTGACACTAAACCATAGGAATACAAATTTTGATTAAAGAAGGGGGAAAAAAATGAGTCATATTCTATTAGTGTAGCTCCTTGAATGAACTAGCAGGGAAATAATTTGTTTTTATCAGTGTAAGGTAAATCTTTTTCTCTTGAGTCAGAAGGAAGGATGGTCCACTGCAGTCAACAAAAGGGAGGAGGCACAAGGGACATAGACCTTCCCTACTTGGTTACAGTGACTGCTCAAGAAATAAGAATTTTCTTCTCTTGCATTAAAAAAAGTCAGAATTTTTCCTGTGGTAGTCTGTATTGCAACAAATCTCATTGTCTGTTTAGGGATATGACTTTCGTTTTTTGCTGTTAACACCCATAATGGCATCTCATAGAAAGATTATTTTAATTGGTCCTTTGTTATTGGGTTTTTCCAGTTGGCCAATTTTGAAGATGTTGTGACAGGGTTTGTTCATAAAAGTGCTCCTTATGTTTCTGCTTTTCTGTATAACATGTATTGTATACTAAAAGTTAATACTTGCTGTCTTCCAGAGCCATTTACTTTCAGAAATGTTAGCATATCTGTGTTATGTTCTTGAATTATGGTGAAAAATTTGAGTTTATATATATAATCAGTAGGTGTGGTTGACTCTTGATTTGTGCTGTGAGTTTGATATGTATTTATATATATAGACTATATGTATCTGTATATAACTATCTATAACTTTAACTATAACTATATATATAACTATATAACTTTAAACACCAGATAGAGTGTGGACCTGTAGAAAAAGAATCAGTTTTTAATAATCTGGAGTAGTGGGTATCCCATATAGTAGAGTGTTACAGTTAATTAAGCTACTAATCATCATTGAGGGGTATAGGTAGAGACTAAAGTCAGCTTAAGTCTAGAAGAATATTTAGTTCAGGTTTTTATGTCTTTGTAAAGTATGTACATTGCTCAGAGGCTGGTGAGGCTTTGGGAGCAGAATCTGTTTTCTCCACACATTGTATTTATGCCTTATGCAATCGAATTTGCTATGTAGAATATTAGAAAAACTGCCCATAAACAATGAAGAGTTGGCTGTTTTACATGGCTTTGACAACTTCAGTAATTGTGGGGTTTTTGGTTTTGCTTTTTAGGGAATAAAATAATGCTAATGAAGCAGCCCTTTCCTTGAAGTTCGAGTTTTCAGACTCACTGCCATAATGGGTAAGTCTTATGTGTAACATACATAAAAATTTAGTTCAGATACTCTTCATTTCTATTGAGTGCTAAAACCATTAATGTACTACAATTCCTAGGAAATGTGTGCTTTGGCTGTTTAACGCGGTGTAACACCAATATGAAAGGCAGTGTTCAGCAGCTTTGCAGTATTCAAAATATTTCTCTTTTTTTTTTCTTGGAATATAGCACTTTTCCCTTATTATGTGGTAACTTAAAGATTTAAGTATAGGAAATTGAGATTCATGATATTAGAGTATTTACTGTCCTCTAAATGGTAATGACTGTTGGAAAAAAACAAGTCCAAACCACAAAGTCTATATTAAAGGATTTTATCTTGTATCATTGCAATGCAAAGCCAAGACTGTGTAGATGGTCTGTTTTTCTAAATATGTAGCACATTTGTATTACTTTAGATTTTATGCCAGTTTTTCAAGCTGTGCGTGCTTTTTAATGAGTTGACCATGTTGTTATTGTAATCATTTATCGGAGCTCCCTCTCAAAAAAATCCCAGCAAACCAACCAACCACAACACGCACATTTTCATGTTGCTTTTGTTCATCTCTTATTGTTATGCTAATGTTCCTAACCTTATGCTTAATAATCAAGTTGCCTAGTCTGGGAATACAGCATTCTTCAGATTTCTGATCTTCTCCAGCATTTTGCTTGAGAGGAGTGACTGTTGAGTCATGATGGATACTCAGTAAACTTTAAACACTTTACCACAGTTCTTTGGTTTCATGAAATATGCAACATAGTGACCACTGGGAAAGAAATTTCCAATCAACTGCTAAAACATCAATTTATTTTTTACCATTGCTGAGCACTAGAATAGGCTATAACACAATAAAATAGTTTAACTTATTTTAATTTTGGCAAATCTTGAAGTGTGTTTTAGTGTGAGAAAAGAATAACTGAGCTGCAAGAACGCCTTCAGTTCTGCCATTAAATATTGCTAGTAAAACCTGCTTTTATAGATTTGCATATCTTAGTAGAGTTATGAATAATGACAGCATGAGTGATGATCAAAGGTACTCATTTTCAGACCAGCTTTCTGATCTGTTAGGAATCTATTAAATTAGAGCACTTAAATCCCACAATTTCCTTGTATAATAAATATATTTGGTTGTATTTTAATAGAATGTGAAGGAATTCTCATGGTTGCCGAACACTTGGAATGCTTACTTGCTGATTTTAATGCTGAGCTTTTCTCAGGTCCGTGTTTGAGAAATACGGTTCTTTGTAAATCACAGCATTTAGCAATGAATTCTTCAACAAACATTGAATTGTTCACAGTGTTCCTTCATTGTGAAGGAGCGTGAAGGCACACAATCAACACTTTTGTAGATAAATTTTGTCATCAAGTGTTCCAGATGCATGCTGAGTGCAGGTACTATTGCTGTGGCAAGGAACAAAATATTAGAAATAAATTTCTCTTAGTGGTAGATGTACAGGCTTTTGAGCTCCTAAGTGTTTTTCTGTCTAAAGGAGCATCCCATTTCTAGGGCAAATCATGGCCTCAGGCTGTCACAGTTGTGGCAGATCTTCAGGATTTAGGGTTTTTTTGAACTTGAAACCTAAGTTATGTAGCACTCCTGCCCCTAAATTGTCCCCTGGGTTCAGTGCTTCTGTTTCTCCTTATGAATTCTTTCTTTAAGACCAAAATCCTCTGTATTTTCAGTCCTGGAAAGGTTCTGTAGAGTTTTATTTTTGGTTTATGGGTTGTTTTTTTGTTGTTGGTTTTTGTTTTGGTTTTTCTTTTAATTACTTCATGCGCTATCAGCAGATGCTCAAACAGTTGAGGTGTTCCTCTGGGAGTTTGTGTATGCTTCCAGTGGGCATGATCATATCTGTTCAGGACAGAGGGAAAATGGTTCAAAAGTACTTGTGTTTTTTTCTGAGAGGGGCGGGAAATGTAATTTCTAGTAAATGTCTCATCCATACTATTTGAAACAAAGTACATAAGGCTTTTCCCCCTACACCCCCTTTCTTTTATTAATGCAACCTGCAGTTGTGTAGAGCTTAGTCTCTGTTATGACTTCGGTTTTTTAAACTTGCTATTTAAGTGTGGTTACTGATTAAGCTGTTTATTTCCTTAAGCAATGTTAATGATAAATAAAATAAAAACATTTGCAACGTGGCAGCAATTTTTTTTAATTTGGCAATTATGTATTGGAGTGTAATGAGGACTTTTGGATTTTAGAATAATGCTTGCCTAATTGTGAAATGAAACAGTAATGCCCTTCAAATGTAACAGTCTTTTACACTTGTCTGGTCTTTCTCTCTGAGCAGATGAGCAGCAAGCTTTGAATTCAATCATGCAGGATTTGGCTGTGCTTCATAAGGCCAGTCGTCCTGTATTGCCCCAGCAAGAAACAGGAAAACCAAAGTCATCTTCACCTAAAAAACAGGTAATTTTTAAATGTCCTCACTAACCTACTGAACATGGAATGTCCTGCTGTGACTTCTGTAATTATTTTTCTTGCCAGACCAGTGAGCATACCAGAATGAGCTGTTAGTCTCCCACATGTGCTGCCATTTTCTTTGTTCATGTTCTTGTATTATCAGCAAAATGAAATGGTGGCATTTGAGAGCAGATCATAGTATATGCTTAAATAACTCTTGTACTGGTAAATTGAAGATCATAGAGGTATTTTGACATTGTGTGTAGAGTGATTTTATAGTTCTTGTTATTATTATATTGATACTATACTATTTTAAAATATCAAGAAAAATTTTATAGGTTTAGTAGATTGTCCAGTTGTCACCTATATCACACCAAAGAATGTCAGTACAGCAGCAGAAACGTGCTCAAGCTCTTTTACTGCATCTTTGGCCTCGGTTTCTTGTTTGTTCATGTGCTGGAAATGTGATTTCTTTTCAGCTGTATTTTCTCTAGATACTAAACAGAAATGGAATAAGTAGTAAATACTTAGTTGATAGGTTTGAACTACTATACTGAGAGATTAGGAGAGGGTAACAGTTTTTACCCAGAAATAACATAATAAACATACATTAACTGTATGTTTATTTGATTGGATCCTTAATTTACAGTTCAATATTTAATGAAATTTCCGTTTATGCCTATTTTAACCTTTTAATATATATATTCCTATATATTTGGCTTTTAAACTGTCGAAACCCAATGACTACATCTTTTTCATTCTGTGCTTTAAAAGTTGTATGAGTTCAGTGTATATCACAGTGGTGCTTTGCTGATGTCATGTAACTCGTGTCTGAGCTGTTACTTTAGACATTGTGGTAACATGCATTTTTGATCCAAAATGATTTGAGTATAATACATGTTTAGAAAGTTAGAAGAAATGTTTATCCTTCTGTTTCAATTTATGAATTTTGAAAGTAATAATTTGTTAATCAGCTGTTTTGGAAGATGCAACATTGTTACTTGGATAATGCATTATTGTTTTTCCTGCATTATTGTTTTGCCTGCAATAGGTGCTAATACAGTTTGATTCTTAAAACTATGATTTTGCAAAAAGCAAACTTTATTTCCTCTGCAAATATATACAGATATGGTTATTGGGAAATTTATTGCATGACTGCTGGCTTAATTACATGTGTTGGTTTCTATGGTAATGCTTATGAAACAAGATATGTTTCTTAAGCCTGGAATGCTCAGCTGCAAAGTGTACATAAAAACCTGTTGTTGGAGCTAAATCTACCTGCCTGTTCAGGATAGAGAACTTTTTGGTAACCGTTCCACGCTGAATTTGAACCATAAATCTGTTATAATATTAAAATATATTGATAGAAAATAATGTCTTTACTTAGAGAAGCATTCATTGTACTTCAGAATAAGTTTTTGTATTTTTTACACACTTTAAGCCTCTATCAGGTACTTCAGCAGTGGTAACTTGTTTAGATACTTGTTGTATTGGAAAGGACAGAAAATTAATAAGGAATTTATTTCTGGTGTAAGATTATTGAATGGGAGTTCATGGCCTTCATTAAAGGAGGTATTAACAAACTAATAGTGGTTCCTTTATGTCTTTTCTTACAGAATGATGTTAGAGTCAAATTTGAACATCGAGGTGAAAAAAGGTAAGGGAACGGTCTTGTCTCTTAATTATTTGTAGAGTTTTGTTGTGTTTTTATCATAAAGTTTCAAAGTATTTCAGATCTCTAAGTGTATTTTGTTTGAGCTTAAATTTAATTTTGATATGAACACAATTTAAAGATAATTAACTGTTTGAAATGTGGGCTCTAAGTATACATAAATGTGGAAGTATCATACTGTACCTATGTCCCATGGAGGATCCTTCATTTGGTTACCCTTCAGATACTTAGATCATTAGAGTAGATCTCAAGTTTGAATAGACCAGAATATAAATTTTTTTGCTTCATCATGTGTGTAATAAATGCATGATAATTTATTGTTACTGTAACACCCAGAGAAAGAGGTCTAGATCTCTAGATCTCTAAATCTCAGTATTGGATTGTACTTTGGAGGTACCAGTATGAAACTGTAAGAAGAAAATTTATTAGATTCAGATTGCTTTTATTTAATCAGTTAAAATTTATTTTCATTTTGTATATGAGGTGGCTGATGCACCTGCTTAAAGTGTACAAGCGTCTGTATATATCACTGCTCTGATGACTGCTTAAAAGCTTTTACAGAATTCAGTGTACAACTCCATGCAGAACTCGTTGTGGACAACTGATTTTGCCTGCCTATCTCTTTCTGAAAGCATAAAATTTCATTCTGCCTGCAGAGAAATGGTTATAGAATAAGATCTTTGAAAATACTTAAGGAAAAAGGAAATAATATCCTGGTCATGCTGTTTGTCAGTAGAAATTGTAAATTTCGTAATTGCTTCAGAATGAAACCTATACATACTACTTCTGGGCAGCCCTCGGTGTGATGTGCAGTAGTTGAGTGTGTGTCCGTGCTGATTACAGTGTGTGCCCTCTCTGTACATGGAGCAGTAAAATAGCAGTAAGTTCCCTCGGTATTAACATTCTCCAGCTTCTTTCTATCACTTCTCTGAACATCACACATAAAAGTGCATCAGTAATGGTTGAGTGCTGTAAGTAATTTGGAGGAAATAAGTCTTTTTGAAAGCTTTGAAAATTGAGGACTCTTCTACCTAACTATTTCTCGTGAAATAAGGAGAAGCATGAATTTAAAACAGAGAGATGTTTACTTGCTGCCAGTCTGCATGGACGGTGCATTTTGCAATTTATCATAATTCACTTTCACAGTGGACTAAGTTAATCAATTCAATATGAATTGCTTAACAAGCATAAAATAAGTGTGTGGAAAGATACCTTTCCCAAGCTTTTATGCTGATGGGCCTAGCTCTGTTCTGCACTGTCCCAAGTGCCTTGAGCCTTCTTGCCCAGAGGTACTGGGCAGCCCAGGCTCATTGCTCAGCATGAGTTATAATACTTTTGTTGCCTGAGCATGCAGATCTAAAGATAAAGTAATGAAATTATGCAGGAAAAATAAGTTATGCAATGGCTTTCTCACTAGGTTTGAAAAAGGGAAGTGAAAAACAGAAGTGATCTCAGACTTGCTTTCAGTGGTGAATGTGGCACTTTGTTCCAAGGAGCTGGTGGTGTGATGGGTAGAGTTGTAGGCTTGTTGCACAAATTGTTAATTACAGTGAGAGTTGGTGTTGGTTGCTCTTGTTTGTTTTGGGTGTTTTGTTGAGATTTTATTTTTTAACAATAATTTTTAATTGGAAGTGGCCTGACTTCTAGCCTCATTTCAGTGAGAAAGTTGTCCCCTAACCAGTGTAGTACTAACCGAACCACTGATGAAAGGAACAGTTACCCTTTGCTAACTTTTCTGCTTCACAGAATTTGAGTACTCTTTCTTTTTTGAATGTGAATTGGATGTACCTCAATAGCTTAATCACTTTTAAATGCTTTTTTTGTTTAATGCTGTTGTATCTCAAAAAATATAATAGTTTTCTATAGTAAAAGGGCAGTTTGGGCTAACTGGTTTGATGAGACATTGAGTTAAAAAAAAATCTGACTTGTTGACCTGCAACCGCACCATTCTTACAGGAGCACATTTGAAGCACAGTTAGTGATGGACTGGGCAGTTTGAGTGTGTAGTTCATTATGGTAAGGATGGTGACATTTAGTTACCTTCCTCGGGTAAGATAGTCTTTCAGATTTCTGAAAAAGGGAGTAATTCCTTTCTGATGTTTATGCTTGTCAGCCTGTGGTACTCCATTGTCTTAGTTTTCTGGAGTAGAAAATTTTAGAAGTTTCTAAGAATTTGTCTCTGAAATGGAGGCTTGCAAAGCATTAAGCAAGCCATATAGTAGCAAGTAAAGTAGTCATAATGAAATCTAATTCTGTGCCTGATTATCCCTTTTAACTTTTTCACTGCTTTTCTTTCTTTTCTTTTTAAAGTCTCAAAATATGGAGGACAGTGAATGAAGCATAGTCTCTTATGGTCTTTTTAGTAATAAATTTAGTTCTAAAATAGTTCTTAAGTAATGAGTTGCCAGATTTTCATAGGTAATGGACAAAAATTCTTTGAAACTTAAATTGTTTTTCAGGATCCTGCAATTACCAAGGCCTGTTAAACTTGAAGATCTTGCAGCTAAAGCTAAAGTTGCTTTTGGACAGACTATGGATTTACATTACAGCAATAATGAGGTAATATTCTGTGTCCTCTAAATTCTTGCCTTGGACAATGATTGTTTTGAGGCTGAAATTTGCTCTCATAAGTAGTGGGAACCACTCCTGTGACAAAACTTACTCCTGTGACAAACTCCTGGGTTTCTAGTGTGTGTGTGTGTGTGTTTTCTCAAATATGTAAGTCTTGTCCAAATTAGGATAGGCACGAGATACGTGAAATGTTTCATGAGTATCGTAATGAATTATGTCTCAGACTTGGTTAGGAATGAGTAAATTGTCTTCCTGATCTGCCACAGTTCTGTTACAAGTCTTTACTTTTTTGAGCTTTGTTGTGTTTGTAAATTTGAAGTAACATTTATCCTTTCTTCAGCGTACTTGTAACAAACGTGGATAGAGCCTTCCTAAATCTTCGTTCGCGAAGCCCAGCCTTTCTTATAAACTCTTTTCTTTAAGGATTAATCTTGTTAGGCAACTGCTAGAATGCTGCATTTAGTTACTGTTTAGATTGGAGGAATACGCTTAGCTCTTGCTCCTCCTAAAGTGACTGGTTCCCAAAGATATTTTGGAAACAGTGCCAGCACTGTCAAACCACTTATGCTTGATCAATATTACTTCCAGCTTTCCTTTAGAAGCAGGGATGGAATTATAGCAAATATATTTACAGATGCAGGATCCATTCTTGTGAGTTACTTCTGGGCTTTGCCTTGAGTCAGCAAAGTTCATAAAGGATTATTCGTGTGGTTATGCACAACATAATTGCTGTATCTAATCTGCATCTTTGCAGAAGAAAATGCCAGTAATTGCTGTTTGTTGGTAACATTATCAGACACTTCTGTGAAACTGATCCTCAAAATGAAGAATTCCAACAGAAGGCTTTTGGAGATTAGGAAGGTCAAAAGTGATGGCCCTTCATAATGCTTTAGCCTCAACTCCTTCCACTGATAGATTCATAGGCATTTGAGTAGGTTTTCTTCTTGTCAACTTCAGCACTAGTTGGCAAATCATCCCATCACCTTTCAGAAATGGGATGGTGATAACATGTCATTAGGATTAAAACTGCAATTTAACAAATGTACAAACTCTTCATTTTATCAAGACCCATTTCTTTTTGTATAAAACTACTGTATTTTGCCTGGTGATGTATTTAAGCATTACTGACTGATGCTCTTACAAGTAGAATAGATTGAAAAATCTATATTGTGTTGTTCCTTTGTTACAAGTAGAAGTTGTAATGTACACTTCTAAAACACAAGCTCGATCTCACGCGTTATAGAATTCAGATCTCAATAGCACTTTAGTGGCATAACATTTTCTGTTCTAAAGATACATGTGTGCTAAGTTAATTCTAATTAGTTAGATCCAAGTAAGATTCTAGTGAGGACTAGAGTTGTTGCATGTGGATCACATCTTCCTTAAGGAAGTAAGGATACGCTTCCTTGACAAATTTTGTTTTTCAATGGAGAAATTCTGTTAGTGATGCAATTTCAAACAAGTATAGTTGTAATATTAGATACAAAAGTCTGCTTTCTGCTCTGTAAAATAAGACTTCTGTTCATCTTACAGACTTGTGGTAATTTAGGCAATGGTAAATACATGGACCCTGTTGCACCTTTTTCTCTGAAACTTGTAGGATATTCAGTTGCATATATGCAAAATGGTTGCTCTTTGGTTGTGAAGACTTGTTCCACCTGCTGTAAATAGTGAAGGCATCTGAAGGAAGAGTTAAGGTTGAACTTTAGACATTTTGATGCTAACTTGAGGGATCATTTAATAAATTTTATTTTCAAGTTGTTTGGTATGAACGAAAAGATTCCCTTTATTTGTTTCTCTGCACTTGACTTTCTCATTTTCTCTTGTGTCCCGTTTAAGACTTTTTTTTTCCCCTCCCTTTTTTGTAGCTTGTAATTCCATTAACCACACAGGATGACCTGGACAAAGCTGTTGAACTGCTTGACCGTAGTGTACATATGAAGAGTCTCAAGATATTGCTTGTAATACATGGAAATACACAGGTATGAATTGACATGCTAAATGTCTTTTTCCTGAGTTTTCATATTGAAGTATTATTTGTATCTTTTCTTAAAGATGGCATTTTTCCAACTGAAAATAATACTGATTGCTTCTTGATTTCAGTTTAAACATCCATTAGCATTTTGTATTTACTCAGTTTTAACTCTTTCTTAGATCCTTCTCTTTGTTTGTCTTCCCTACAGTGGTAAAGTGTTCCTTAGTAGGATGATAAAGTGATACAGATTTGAAAAGCACATAAAATTTAAGTAACAGTAGTTATTTGAAATTGTTCTTTAAGTCAGACGTTGGTGGCACTCCTTTGTGGGAAGTTCAGTGTTTGTTGTAGCAAAGACTAGTGGACTATAGACTAAATGCTTGAGGTATTTCGGTATTATCTAACAAACCATGGCATTGATATTCATAGGATTTGTGTACTGGTACATATTGAAAATTATTTTTAAAGAGTAAGAATGAACTACTAAAATAGATGGATTGTGATATAAATTGGCAAACTGCTTTTTTGACTGCTCAAAAAAAGGAACGTACTGTGCAAAACCTGTAAAGTTTACAAAGTATTTTCGTTGTGAGGAGTATAAAGTAATAACAGCAGGTTGTAATATTTATGCATTTTCAGTCACCCAGTGTAAATAATATGGAACCCTTGCCCTCACTGGAAGATTTAGATAATACAGTGTTCGGTGTGACAGAAAGGAAAAGGCGACTGTCTGTAATAGGTAAGGTGAATATTTCAATAGCTTTAATTGTAAAAGCTTTTCTTTTGTAGTATTCTCTTCATGAGGATTTTACTCTCAACACAGTGTTTGAATTTCTCATGCTCATCAATGACTCTACTGTAGAGTTTGCACTTGGGGGAGTGGATTTTGAATTTTAAGTTAAAAGTGATTTAAATATATATAATACAGAAAATTACCCCAAACTCCCAGAGGTAAATAAATGTATGTAGAATTATTTGAGGTTACTGATGGGTAACCTAAGAAGCTGATGTTAGTACTCCCCTTTATTTTCAGATACAGGAATGAGCTACTGAAAAATCTGTTTATATGGCAGTGTGTTTTCTTGCTCAGTTTAGGACCCTCATATTTTTTTAATGTCTGAACATTTGTGTAAGATACTTATTTAGGCATTGAGATAACGTTTTTGCTTATTAATATTTTGAAATTGGTGTGATGTTAACTTCAAAATTTAATTACGAAACTAGAGAGTTTCATGAATAATTTTCCAGACAAGTTAATTATTATGCATTTATTATGAATATATATATTCGTGTTCTTGCAGACTTAATATTCTACAAAGAAAAACTGAAATTCTCAAGAGTTGGAAAGGATTAGTTGACATGGGTGGAAGGGTTTGGATTTTGATTTTGTTCAAAAGAAGAAATTTACCCAGCTAGATGTGTGAGCAAATTGTGTTTCTGTTCCTGTATAATGAAAATTCTTTTTAATGCCGTTGGGGCAACTCTGCCCCAAATTTTTCATAATTCCTGGATTGCAGATTTTAAATGCTATACTTAAGTGTTGCATTGCACAGGTATTTGGGAAATGCCCAAAGGAGAAGTGATTCAGGCAGGCTCAGTGCCTGTGAAACTTTTGAATAAAACCCCTGGATTCTGGGTTAATGTAGAGACTCTGACTGGCCTTTTTCTTTCAAAAGGTTCTAATACTCGTGATAGGAGTTCACCTCCCCCAGGATACATTCCGGATGAACTGCATCAGGTGGCTCGAAATGGGTCCTTCACCAGTATCAACAGTGAAGGTGAATTCATTCCAGAAAGTATGGATCAGGTAGGTGTGTGATTTATTAAAATTAAAGGTTTTGTTAGGTTGCTTTATGAAATACTGCTGAAGGTTACAGAACTGTTCGAAAGAACAGCAAAAAAAATTGATAACTCTAGAAAACATGATTGGTGAGAGAAGGTTGAAATAATTGTGCTGTTTAGTTTTGTAGAACCTGTTTTTTTTCTCTGTAAGTCTCTTCAATTTTTTAAATTTTTAAATATATTTTAAATATGCTACAAGGACAAAGATAGTATTCGTAATTCCCATGATAGCTGAGTGAGGTAGTGATAGATATAAATAACAGCAGAAATGTCTACATTAGAAAGCACAAACCTTCTCAGTATTTTAGTGAGAAGGATACGTAAGAAAGAAAGTTTTACCACTTTTCCAGGTAATTAAAGGAGAATTTAAGAAAGAGTTTGGATTTGTCAGAATTATTTGGACTTAACTGATGCTTAAGAGTTGGACTTGATGATCCTCGTGGGTCCCTTCCAACTCAGAATATTCTGTGATTCTCTGTGATACTGTGTTGAGGTAGAGGCAAGGGGATGGCGGTGGGCCTGGCATAAATAAGGTCTGAAATACTTTCCAGAGTCACTTGGGGTTTGTGTGAAGATCACAAATATATGTTATTTTGTTGTTCTTACTCGCCTGCATTACTAGTGTAGGATATCAGCACATTCAGCAAGAATAAAAATTCTGCTCTCCAATATTAAAATTGCCCCTAAAAACAACAGGAAAAGAAGCAGAAATGTAATGGCTCACAGCATTGGCAATGGAGAAAGATGTTTTAAGGAGGAAAGAAAAATAATGCTGCATACCCAAATCACTTCAAGTTGTTGTTGACATTGGCACTGTATTTACAAATGGCAAGAGGCAGTGGTTTTTATGAGCTGACTAAATGAGAGACAGATGATAGAATAAAAACCGAGGCAAAGGGATTGTGCAATTTGTTGCACAATTTTAATGACTGAACTGAGAATAGAGACTGAATTTCCTACTTTCTAAACCTGGGTGCTATTCTTTATCATAGCCACATGGTCAGATCCATCCCAGGTCTAGATTCATTCAGTGAAATGATTACTTTTGACCGGGGCCAAGTCATTTTTGGTCTGATCATGACTGGTCAGATAGATGATACCTGAGGCCTGGGATGTCCATTCACTCCTGAGTATTCAAGAGGTATGTAACCTGTCATGTATGCATTGCTGTGTAAGCTGTGAGCAGGTTTAAATTAATGAATTTTACTTTCATGGAAAGCCAGGTTAGTTCAACCTTTACAGCCTCAAGGGCCAGTTTTGGGTGTTGGGAGCTCACAAATTCTGTTTGCTCCCTCCCCCCTAAGGTGCCACATCACCTTGGCGAGTGTTGGCCATACTGCCTTTGTCTGTCACAGCCTGCCCAACAAAGACAACAAGGGAATTAGAGAGTGGAGGGCTTTGCTCTGCTCTGCTGTTGATCTGTCTGAGCACAGCTGTTCACACTGACAGCAGACCTCACACTTGTACAGAAGAGATGATGGGTTGGATAAAAGTGGGCCGTGGGCTGCCATTTGGACCATACTGCATTAGGTTATAGAGGTAATTAATATGGCAGCAGGTGAGCTTTTCTTATCCTTTCAGGATCCACTTTTTGGCATGAGAAAAGAGGAGTAAAACTGCTGAACTTGTAGTAAATGTTCTCCTTCCGAGTACAGAGTTTATAAGTGGCTGAGTTGCAGAGTGCAAACTCAATTTCTGGACAACATTTCTTTAATAAGTCCTTGATTGGTGTTCGACAAAGTGTATGCCCAGGACCTTTAAGATGCAGCACAGATCATAAAAATTGGAGGGGTAACTGCTTGATTCACAGCAAAAGACTGGTGCCCAATTCATAGAAAACAATAGATGTTACATAATATACCAAAACAAACTTCATTTTAGGAGGGAGCTTCTTTTAAGACAACAGATTAGCTTTCCACTCTGTTTTTACCAGCTCTTATCTGGTTTGGATTTTTTTTTATTAACTGTTTCAAAGCAGAAACCTTAAAGTATTTTAAAAAAATTTGAAAACCAGACTTGAACTTGTTGGTCTTCCTCTGTTTGTTATTTATTAGATGCTGGATCCATTGTCTTTAAGCAGTCCTGAAAACTCTGGCTCGGGAAGCTGTCCCTCACTTGACAGCCCATTAGATGGGTAAAAATTATTTACATTCATTATTTAGCTTTATTAGATTGTATAATTTATCAGTTGTAATGTATAACAACTCTCCAGTGACAGAGCTTCTTCCAGAAATTCCTCTCTAAGTTACAGAACATTTATAAAAGCTTATTCAAACTTAATTGCTTACTAATACTTGGAAAATACAGTAGCTTCGTTTTTTTAAAAATAATTTGTGTTTGAAACAAAAAAAAAATTAGACTTCAGATCCTACAAAAATGCACTGAAGATTTTTGGTAGATGTTGCCGGGTTTTACATATGTGTGAAGTATATTCCCTGGTGGTGAGCCACCCCATTAAATTTACAGTTCTAAGGCACTGGCATATGAAGCAGGTTTTCCTTTGCCAAGGCAGAGGGTACCCACTTCAAGAAGACGGTCGAATCATTTAAAGACTCAACAGATAATCCTGTCCTTTTCTTGGTGATTACTGTCCATTCCTCTCCCTTTCTTCCCATTGCAGGCTTTCCACTTATTTTCCTTTGTTAAAGCCCATCATTTAGCAAGAGGCAGCATGTACTGGGGAAGGTCTGTAGGTCTGTTTGGGATGACCTCTGAGGAGATTCATGTTTTGAGAGGGTCACTGTCCACCAGTGAAGCCAAGCAGAACATACTCCTGTTTGGCTTTTGGTTGGTCAGAAAAAGAACCTTGGGTGTAATGTTGTGCAGATTGGCTACTTGTCTATTTGGAACTGCTATACACATAGTGCTATTTTATTTAATTGGTAAAAAGATAAAGAATTGGAAATCACTGCTTGTGGCAATTAAATAAGAGCTATAATATTCCATAGTACCGTCTCACATGAGATGATGTGATTTGAGAACACAAATACATTTGGTCTAACATATACATTTTTGAGTTGAATAACGAGTCTTCATTTCACAAGCAAGAAGATAGACGTGAAAAGTATTTTGTGGTTGTAGTGTGATAGGTTATACATACCTAATGTTTAATGTAGCTCCATAGAATAGAAATTCTACCAAATTGCCAAATTTTTAGGGTTTTTTGTGGGGTAAGGGTAAGTGGAAGAAGGGGAAATAAAGCAATCTTAATACAACTCATATTTCTTCTTCAGAACTTCTTTTGGTTGTTTTTTATTTACTCAATTTGTCACCTCTACTTAGTTTGTTTTCCTTTTTTTTTTTTCCATTGAAATATTTCCTACAAAGATGTAGGTTTTGTGTCTCCATTTAGCTTCTGTTACCCATTAGAGAAATTCTTACCAGAAAAAGGAGGACATTGTTTTGGTATGTTTATGGAAATATACTGTAATCGATTGCTCTGACTGGCAATCCCATCCATTCCTTTTGGTGGCTGGGAGTTACATACCAACTGTAGGTAAGAAACAATGTGATCATATAAGAACCAAAAATTCTTCATCATTCTATAACTTAACAAAATCACTTTCTTAATCCTATGACTTTCATGGAGAGAAGAGGAAATGCTTTTCCTCATCAAAAGGTTCTAAAATTTCTTTGGTTAAATTTCCCCAAGAGTTTTTGTAGGCTGTATAACAGATTTTGCCAGTCTGTAAACCTTTGTGTTTAGCCATAAAGATGTCAAACGTAACAGTGTTCCTTTGTGGCTTTACCTGTGATAATTCATGTTTTTACTAATATTATTGCTCATTAACAGTCTGTTGCTTTCTTACTATGTTAAACTCAATAAGCTTTTCCATTGTTACTGATCTTCCATTGTTACTAGATCTGAGTTTCAGAATTGAGTTCCACCCAGTTAAACTGGTGCAGCAACTTGTTTAGCAGTAGCTTTTCATCAGTTATAAAGAATTATGAGACAGTAAGATTAAATGTTGAAGTAGTAGATTAACAGCAGTTTTTAGATTCTGTATGTTTTACTCTTCCAGGGACAACTATCCTAAATCTCGAATGCCAAGAGCGCAGAGCTATCCAGATAATCATCAGGAATTCTCAGGTAGGTACAAATCTCTGGACATACTAGCTTTCCAGAACTGTTCCTCTTGCAGCAAATAATAAGGCTAAGAAGGTACATTCACATTGAGAGCTATTGTATTACACAAAATTAGTATGGTAGGAGAAGGCAAAGCAACAAAATCCAATCCAAATGAACACAGTAAAAGAGTTTTCTAAACATTTCTAAATGTTTTCTTCCATATTATTGTGTGTGACACCACTGTTAGTGTTCATAGTGTAACTGTCTGCTTCTGTGAAAAGAACAAACATTGCAGTGCATAGGGGTACACAACAGTTAGTTAAACTGGACTGTAACGTCCATCTCTAAGTTGATGTATAACTGTGGTTAATTTATTTCATTTTGGGATGCTGTGGTTTAACCCCAGTAGGCAGTTAAGCCCCACACAGCCGCCTGCTCGCTCCCCTGCATGGGACTGGGGAAAGAATCAAAGGGTTAAAGTAAGAAAAATGAATTAAGATAAAGACAGTTGAACAGGTAAAGCAAAAGCGGCACACACAACTAGAAGGAAACAAGGAATTCATTCACCACTTCCCATCAACAGGCAAGTGTTCAGCCATTTCCAGGAAAGCCATTTCCATTTCTATCACACTTACCGGTTACCTGGGAAGACAAACACCATCACTCCGAATGTCTTCCCTTCCTCCTTCTTTCTCCCAGCTTTTATTGCAGAGCACAACGTCAGGCAGTATGGGATGAATATCCCTTGAGTCATATGGGGTCAGCTGTCTTGGATGTGTCCTTCCCAACTTCTTGTGCCCGCCAGCCTACTCTACCAGCTGGCAGGGCAGTGTGTGAAACAAAAAAATGCCTTGATTATGTGCAAATGTGCTTCAGCAATAACTAAAATATCCCTATGTTATCAACCGTGTTTTGATCACAGATCCAAAACACAGTACCATAGGAGCCACTCTGAAGAAAATTAACTCTTTCCCAGCCAAACCAGTATGTGGGGCCTTCATTTTCTCCTATGTGAAATAATGATCACTTTGAAATGCTCATGACTTCTGTAATTGAAAGCACTGCAAAGTGAAAGGATGAAGGAGAACTGTGTGCTGTGCCTATAAATTAATCATCAACACTAATGTTTTTTTCATACCATACTCTGGCTTGAATCCAAGTTGTTGTGTGGGATTCAGGCTATGAAGTGCAGTGGGTAACCTTGAAAGTGCTCTGAAGTGTCTGTCATGGTCACGCCTCACTACAGAATTTTGCTGTTGAACAATAGTTAGTTGCCAGTAAATCAAAGGGGGTTTGTGTTTTTTCGGTCTATTACATACTTTTAAGGCTTCTTTTTATTTTGTTTGTGAAGCTTTATCTAGGTAATTGTGCAGTGGTGAGTTTTTTCTTTTAAGGATTCTAGAGTGCTTAACAGATTGCACCACTTTTAAATAAAAATGTATAAGAAACATTTAGGTGGCAGAGATAAATACCAAAAAAGTTGGAAATGTCAGAAATTAGTTTGCCTTTCATGTAATCTTAATCTAGTTTGCTTGTGTTTATTTGGGTTACTTTTCTAATAGGATGATCTTGCAATTTTTTTTTTCTGTGAGTTTGTCGTTTTTTTCCTTTGGGATGCTCTGGTATGTTAACAGTGGGATAGACAGCAATCATTAATTCCATATTCAGTATTTATTCCCATGATTTGATGCGTAACAAAAGCAGAAAAAAATATCCATCTGGCTTAGTTTTTCCTCTTGCCACAACCAGTACCAGGCTTCTGCAGAGGAGCATGTAGTATTCCTCCCTCAGAATATATTCCTAGTCATGTATAGCTCTAGGGTTCTGCAGATGCAAGATGTTCTTCTGTGATTTGCTGGATCTTTTTCCTTTCACAAATTTTTCCTGTCTCTATTTCAACTTGTATAAACGTTTTCAGCATCAACAGTCTGTTGCAACAAGAAGTAGTGCAATTTATTGTATTTCAGGAAGAAGTATGCACTTCATGATTCTGGTTTTTTTGAGGGTTTTCTTTCGTTAGAATTTTTTTTTGGGGGGGGGGTGTTTTGTTTTGGGTTTTTTATGGACCTCTGTCTCCCTTTGAGCTGTTGCTTTTCTAGTATATGGAGGCCTACATTCCTTATGGAGGAGTAGACCAAAACTTTGTTCAGTGTCTCTTAATGATTTACAGCTTTTAATTTGCTTCCTAGCCAATACAGAGTTCAGCTGCTCCTTACTGGAAGTCTCTATCACGAACCTTTATATAAACCTACATTTAATTTCATCTGTATAAACCTACATTTAATTTCATCTGCTGCTTTAACATCCAGTCACATAGACTCTTAAGGGCCTTCTCTAATTCTTTAGTTGGCTTTATTTCTCAGAATGATTTTGTCGCCTCACTATTCATTATTCTGTACAGAGAATTCATGCATAATTAAACTGCACGAGTTTTAACCCAGATTCCTGTCAAGCTGTTGACCGTTTCCTCCCTTCTTATGTACTTATCTTCTAACCAATTATTTATGCATGAGAGACTTTTTCCTTTATCTTATGAATACTTTTCTCCTTCAATACTTTTTAAAATCGGACCTTTTGATTGTAGTTCAGTAATTCAAGCTCTGTTGACTCATTCACTAACTTTTCATATTTATGCATCTTTAAACTATATTCTTTAGAGCAGTTTTTCCTCTAGAAACTACTTTTAAAACTGGAGTAATTAGGCCTGCTGTAGTCCTCTGACTTTCTTTTAAGCAAATCTCTTGAGCTGTTGAATTCTTGATCCTTGGAACTTTTGACTGAACGTCCTTTTGGTTCTTGTGGGTTGACAGATTTGTGGCTTTTGTTCTATAATCTGGTTTTGCTCTGATGCTTCAACTGAAGCATATCCTCTGATATGTTCCCCCATGTTTAAGTTTATAATGCCAAAAAGTGATTAATGTAATATGCTCTTGTCACATTTTAAATTTTTTAATCTTTTTATTTTCTAGTAGAGTATGATATCCCAATATTTGAGAAATTTGGAAAGGGGGGGACTTATCCCCGAAGATACCATATTTCATATCATCAACAAGACTACAATGATGGTAAGTGTGAATACTGCAGCAGTTTAATTAATCTGTTTTTCTCTTCCTAAAACATGAATTAAAAAAATTAGTTTGTAAAAATCTTAATGAATGAAAGTATTGGAGAAATTGAAACCTTGCATTCTTTCCCCAAACTCACTTGCTAAACTTCTAATGACTGATAGAGCTGCTGAGCAGTTTTACATCTGGTAAAGTTATGGATTACAGAATTCCTGACTCATATGCACAGCTGTATAAATGTTGTCTATCTTCGTCCATGCACGAGTCATCCAGTATAAGCTTTTGACCTTTGTGACTCTTTTCTATCTGAAGTAGATATGTCAGTTTGTCAATTCTTGTTCTGCTTTAAGGAATCTCAAACACGGTGGAATTGCTGTTAGGAGTTTCTTAGATTAAAAGAATAAATAAAATTGAAGAGCAGTGATTTAAACCAAGAATTAGCAAGTAGCTGATGAAATCAATTGTTGGAATGCAAGGCAGCACCTGCTGATGTAGCCACGAGACTGGTTTGAACAGTAATAACATTAATACAAATTTAACACATTAAAGAAGCAGCTGAAGGATTTTCAGAATTCTGGGTGTGTCGAGCAGTAGTTGAGAAGTGTTAAGAAGAAATTTCTCCCAAGACCAGATAGCTTCATTTGCAGTGTGGAATAAGCACAGCAATAAATGGAATTATGTTACAGAAATCAGAGAAATATCAAATTGAAGGACTGTGAAGCAGTTTCAGTCCAGTCCCTTGCTCTAAGGCAAGATTAAAGAGACAAAGATCTGTCACACTGACTTTTAAGTAAACTCTAAATTGACTTCAACAGAAGAGATACTCACTTTCTTTATGTAACCAACTTCAAGATAGCTTAGCTTATAACGTACCTTTCTCTGTCTTCTAAGCCATTTTCCTGCAAATGAAACTAGTAACTGGTTAACATAACACTGTTAAAAATTGGTCACTGACCATATTATAACACTACATCACACACACATCTATTTTCTCTTAGTTTTCTTCTTCTACTCTAGCTGAGGCTTTTCTCATGGCCACCTTATGTATAACATGATATAACCAGAACTCAGTAGGTAGCAGTCACGTTAATGTATTGCAGAATTACACTTTTTTCCTAGTCCCCTTTCTGACTGCTGCTCAGTCTGTGGTCTGTTATAGTTCCTATATCCTTTTTTACATTACTTTTAGCCAACCAATTATTATACACTTGGTAATTTCTGTATTAGATTTCTCTTTAACTATATATGTTGTACTTCCTTACTGAATTTCATTTTGTTGATTTCTGAATCATCTCCAACTTCCAATACCATTGTCAATTCTGATTTTTATCTTTAAATGGGCTTTCAGCCACATTTAACATGATGTCATCTGCAATATTTCAGTATATTATGTTCCATCATATGTACATCATCAGTTAAAATAGTGTATGGAAGTGGATTGAAGGTAAACTGCTCTGGATGTCCACTGAAATTATCTTCCCCTTTGATGAGAAATCAGTGATAACTGCTCTGAATCTGTCTCTTGTATAATCTGTGTACTAAGTTGGTCTGTGCAACACTTTATTAGTTGGCTTATGAGAATGTCCTGTTGAAATAGGAAAATTAAATTAGCTACATTTGACAAACCAATTATGACTGGTTTATCACCTTTTTGTCTTCTGAATGGTGAATAAAACTGCTTAATGACTTGTTTGCGTATCTTTCTTGGAATTTAAATTGTCCAGACTAGTATATAAGTCTGAGTCTACTATTTCAAAGATATTTTCTCTGCTTTCTTCAGTTCTCTGGTGTCGTGGTTTGAGACCCCCAAAAATCCAATTTCTAAGCCCTCTACACTTTGCCTCAATGTGAGAGGGGTTTTCAGACATAACACATCTACTAGCATGAGGAAAATCATATCAAGATTTATTACTAACACAATAAATACTATAGAAACTAAAAAGCAAATAAATACACTATTAATACAATCTCTACCATCCCTGGGGTCCTTCCACATCAATCCAGAAGAAGAACCTTCAGGACGATAGCTAAAGTCTCTCTCTCATTGAGGTATCAAGGAAGGGGTCTTCTTTACCCCCATCAGCTGCTTGGCCTCTGCTGAGGTCTCCTCCTGGACTACAAGGGAACACTTGTTTTACCAGGTCTGCATCACGAATTACAGGGAGCCAGCTTCTGAGTCCTTTCTCCCTGTTTCGTGAAGGTTCCTCCCAGAGAGTAAGATGTCCACTTTTCCTCTCACGGTTGCAGGGTTCTCTGGGTTTTGCTCATTCTTTTATACCCCAAATAGTTTTCACCAAAAGTCCTTACCCAGAAAAAGCCTGCTTGGTTTGGCTTCTCTCTGTTTCAGCTGCAGCTTCAGTTCGACTTCACATGGCAAGGGAAGGCATTCCTCCCCCCCGCATTCCTCCTTCTGTTTTTCGCTGCTCTTGTCCAAACCTCCCGTAGAGCACCTCCGAGCCCCTCAGACCGTCTCTGGCTCGGCTCCAATGCTGTGCCTGCCTGCCGGGGGGGACTAGCTCCAACCCCAGCTGGCCTCTCAAGCCTGTACCATTGTCTCTCCAGGGCAGTGGGGGGGAGAAACCCCTAGCCTTTTGGCCACAGCACCTGAACCAGTTTTAATACTGTCCCAGGCTCCCTGGAATCTGGCCAGGGGTGGGGAAAGAGGGCGCCCTGTAAGGGGCCTGCAGGCCTCTCTCTCCCTCCTCTCACCTCATGGCTCCGAATCTCTCTCTCGCTGCCCACAACTTCCTCCAACTGTTGTAATATGCTTATTTCACAGGGGCGAAATAAGCTCCGATTGGTCCCTCATCGGAAACTCACCTGGGATCAACCAGGTCCAGCTCTGCGCCCCCTCCCCCCCCCCCCGGACATCCCAGATGTCCTCAAACCAGGACATCTGGGAACTCCTCCTCCAGTGTAATACCTAATGAATCAAAGACTCCATCAGCTATTGCTGAGTTCTGTAGGATGAAACTTCATCAGCTGATGCTGTCCTAAAAATAGTTGTGTTATCTAAATAGATTAACATAAATTGCATTAGCCATCTAATTGTAATTAATGTTTTGAAGATCAGTGCCCTTTTTTTTTAATTCTATTGCTGCAGCCACCTCCAAATTTGACATTGCTTGTGTTTTATTTTCTTTTTGTGACTTTGTTTTTGGTTTGTTTTTTTTTTCTTTTGTTTTGTGCTCTTCCTGTTGATTGCATGTGTTTGTCTTTCTCTGCGTTCAGTTCTTACTGGTTTGCAGAACGAAGATGCCAGCTTGGGCACATGGGATTGTAAACTTGTATCTCGTTCTCCTTTTTATCAGAAATTTGATATTTGCACATTAATAGAGCAATAAAAGCAGAGGCAGGGTGTTTTCCTTTCTCCTCTTACAGCCCTCCAGGTTTCTGAAGCATTTCAGAACAGTTCCAGAAGTTGATCCTAATTTTGGTCACTTAAACATAAGGTTTTGATTCAGTCTAATCCTTATATACATCTGTGATGAATGTTTGTTTCCTTCTAGGTGGAAAGTTAAATCAGCAAATTTCATGATCATTGTGTCCTATTACATGCTGTGGCAGATTTGAACTAGATAGTGTAGAATTCATAAATTATTTGCATACACACATTGCTTAGCACTATTTTTTTGTAGAGTAACATTAGCGTTCTTTGTATATCATTGAAGGTCGTAAAACTTTTCCAAGAGCCAGAAGGACTCAGGGGAACAGCTTCCGATCACCAGTTAGTTTCAGTCCCACTGACCACTCGCTGAGCACGAGTAGCGGAAGCAGCGTCTTTACACCGGAATACGAAGATAACCGAATGAGGAGGAGGGGAAGCGACATAGACAATCCTACCTTGACAGTCATGGACATCAGCCCACCCAGTCGCTGTAAGTGAAGGCATTTTGTGAACTCTGCTGTAAAACTCTTACCTTATAGGTATACTGTGTCAAAACTAAGCATGTCACCAAAATACAGGCAATTGAGTAATGTGGTTTTATCTCTCTAAATAGGAAAAAATTCAGGACTTAATCCTCATTGGTATTTTCACGGCTTACCGTGCCAACCTTCATATAGATTTTCATATGGAATTTACATCTGTGATAACAAAACATTGTAAAAATAGTTTGGATGATTTATTAGACTCCTGAGGACCTGAGAGGGTTTTGTAGGTTGCAGTTACTATTTATTTTTGCATATGTTGGTCAAGTTTTCTGTTAAACTGTAAACCATAAGTGGTACTATTTCATACCTGTGGTAGCACATCAGGAGCAAGTATACTTTGTGATGACTTCAATAGCTGGTACATTTTAATCATGCCTTGATTTTTAACAAAAAGTTAAGTTTGTTTAATGTGCTTTTTCTCTTTTTCAGATTAGCTGTTGCTTATTTTAAGTATGTTTATCTCTACCACAAATTATTTTGTGAATAAATTTAAGTAGCTCATGTTTTCCATCTTACAGGAAGTTTTATTGATCTTTGTAACTTATACGGGGAGGTTTAGGGCGCACAGTCTCTGTTGTTGAAAAATGTAGTCTTTTAAAAAATTATTTTCTGTGTATTCCAGTTTTTCTCAATCAGCTGAATAACAAGCTCATTTGAAAACCAAAACATATTATATTTTCAGCACCACGAGCTCCAACTAACTGGAGACTTGGTAAACTGCTGGGTCAAGGTGCATTTGGCAGAGTCTATCTGTGTTACGATGCTGATACTGGAAGAGAACTGGCTGTTAAGCAAGTTCAGTTTGATCCTGATAGTCCAGAAACCAGCAAGGTGAGTGATACCAAAGGGAGACCTTGTAAAGGGCTTCTGTTGAAGTGGTGTGTTTTGGACTAGGCTGATGTTCCTTTCCTTGAATAGGATGAGCATGTTTTGAATGTGTTTTAAACCACGTACTGTGTTTTTGTGTCCTTGTTAGTAAACCTGCTTTGTTCATACCACAGATAGTTAGTCTGCTTACCTGACTTTTATGTTACATCCCATTTTTTAAGTTTCAAGCATATGCTTATGCAATGAACGTACATAACTTGATTTGGTGCAGTCTCGGTCTCTAAAATTAAACAATTTATTATGAAGTGTGCTCTGAAATGATAATTATTTATACTTACAGAAATTAGAACAAGTTCCATTTATAAACAGAAAAAGCTGTACAAATTTAAATGTTCCTGAAAAAAATTCTTTAGGATATTTTTTTTGGCTATGAAGAAGACAGTTTGAGATTCTTATCTCTTTTTTTATCTTTTGATGGGCTTTCTGTGTTTTGATTTTTTTTGTTGTTGTTGTTTTGATTTTTTTGTTTTGCTTTCTTTAAGCTATGCTCATCAGGACTAGCTGCTGTTACTCACTGTATTTCTCTCTAAAGCACGCAAGTTTCCCTGTCAATTTATTCTCTCTCTAAAATGGGGCTTGTCCATCTTTAATTACTGGACCCTGGCGGAGAGAAACTACTTAAAAGTAGCATCAATCATCTATTTCTTCTTTTCCCAAATCATACTTGCTGCTTTTTACAGGATGGAAAGAGAATTGTTACTTTCCTGCATTAGGACTGCATTCTGCACTGTGGGGAGCAAGGCCGGGAAAACAATGGGTGTAAGCATGATTGCAGAATTGAGTGGCTGCCAGTTATAGTTGCTGCTACTAGTGATGTAGGATCAAGGAAAAAAAGTCAAGAATCACTTGTGCTGTAGATTTCTAGTGTAGTTGTTGTTACTTCTTTAAAATGTAACAGAACAGCTGATTATGCTTTGGAATTGTTAAATATAAAATACAGTAGTATCTGTCCTGGAGCAACAGTTTTGTGACCTCCTTTGCCATAGCATTTTGTAATACGTACCTCTCTGTTAAAAAAATCTGTTTTCTTTCTAACCTCAGAAGTGTGAGGGTATCAGTCTATGATGGATAAAAATTAAGTTTTGATGAAAAACTTCGAGGTGAAATTTGGAATCTAGCCAAATCTGAATTCATGGGTTAGTGTTTTTCCAGCATCTTGCTATACAGTGCATTTCAAAATATCTTCCTGTTTGCAAAATTTTTGCTGTTTCAGATAGCTCTATAGAAAGCACCAGCTGTGTTAATGTTTTGCTTTGTTGTATGTCATTATTACAATCTCAAGTGGTCCTCAAAGCCATTTTTAAAGCATAGTCTATCATCCTAGAAATGCTAAGAATTAATGCTAATTATTTCACTACAAAGATTTAAGGGGATTTTTTTCCTGTGTTTTGTTTTTTTGTTGTTTTCTTTAATCCAGTTGGAGGCTTATGACATGTTGCATAATGATCACTGACATCACACATATTGATATCTGCTGTGCTCTGAACAAACAAACATAACTTCAAAATAAGAGAAACAATGAAATAACAGCAAAATCATCCCAAAGATAATTTATAGAAAAGCCATAGTTTGGTTTTTTTACTTACTTCAATTTAACAGTGATATTTTCTTGTTATAAAATGATAAACTTTACATAAGCTGCAGGAGTATTTTGTTACTTAGTTTGCATAACCCTTCAATAGGTACATACTGTTCTGCTTTAAAAAATCCAAATCCAAAACATTATTGTTACCACATTAAGCATGGTAAATCTTGTCTGTTTTGTCCTTTCAGGAAGTAAATGCACTTGAATGTGAGATTCAGTTACTGAAAAATCTGCTGCATGAAAGGATTGTTCAGTATTACGGCTTCTTGAGAGATCCACCAGAAAGGACACTCTCAATATTCATGGAGTACATGCCTGGGGTAAGCAGGAGAGCCTGGACACTTCAGCCATCCTTTGTGTGCAGTGTGACGAGCACCCAGGCAGGCAGCTTTTGCATAAGTACATGCAGATATTTAAAACTGTCCAAGTTAAAAACAGTCGCCAAGGATGGGTACTGACAAGTGCTTACAGCGCCCGTCATCTCCATTGCTTGCTTGGGTTTTCAGAATTACGGTGCTTTGTACAAAAGCTCTTTGTGTTTGATTTTGGCATAAGGAGTGCCTGGCAATATCTTTGAAAAGACAATACTATCATTAGTAAACTCTTGAATCTTCCTGAATTTTACTGTTTTGTTTTGCCGTGCTTCAATTATTTCAGGAAAACAAGAAGTGGTTTTCTGATCAGGGTGGGAATAAGTGCATATATAAAATAATCTTGGTGCTTGTTTTTTGTGTGGCACCTACATACATGCTGAACTGCTCTTCTACTGCTTTGTTAGGAAATATTATAAGGTCAGAAAATTGTACATTTTCATTTTCTCACCAAGTGGGGTCAGCAGAGCTAAATAAAATGAGATCGTATGAAAACAGTGTCTCTGTATTTCTGAATAGTTACAGCATTCTACTTACTCTGAGACTCCACAGGAGAAAAGTGGTGTCTGGGGATTGTTTTGTTGTTGGTGGTGAGTTTTTTGTTTGCTTCTTCATTCCTTAAGTGAGATCTGGGCTTTGTTTTGAGGGGCTTCTTGAATTTTTCTCAGATTTGGAGGGCAGTGTCACGGAAGTAATCTTAGCAGTTTGTAACTGTGTGACAAAGCCAGGTTAAACAAAAGTAGTTGCAAAAACCCAAGAATTTTTTATTCAGTGTTATTTTAAGCCAAGACTTGCATACCTCCTAATTTTTACATAAAGCACTATCCTCCAGCATGTGATGGTTTTTTTCTTGACAATGTTTTTTTCAGAGTATAAACAAACATAAGTAAAGGGCATGTATTGAGTCCAACTTGAGTATCACCTTTTAATCATCGAAAAGGTTGAGAGTGGTGTTGGAGTGAAAGTAGTGCTGTTCTTTCTCTACATTGCACTGGAACTATTCAGCTGCCTGACAGTTTTAAAGTTAATAGTTTAATATTTCAGTATATGACTTCTCTGCCCAGTCTTCCTTTGGTCAAAGTATATATTTTTCTCAGTGGAGGTAAGACCATATCCGTACTTTTTAAGTTGATATTGAGAATGATTGTAACTTTAAAATATCTGTGTTTCAGGCATAAATTTAGTTGAAGTTCAACTGTACTATTAGCTCACCTGTGATTCTAGAAGTGTGTTTTATACTTCTTGTGTGCCATAGGGTTCCATCAAAGACCAACTGAAATCATATGGAGCACTCACAGAGAATGTGACTCGTAAATATACGCGGCAGATTTTGGAAGGAGTTCACTATTTGCACAGTAATATGATTGTCCATCGAGATATTAAAGGTAAAGATAGTTCTGTGCACAGTTCAGTGCTCTTTATTACTGATCATTTTCCAGTCTTATGTGAAGCGCTAAAATGTAATTAAGTTTGAAATGCCAAAATACTGACTTAAAATCAATGAGATTGCTTTCCATCTTTTACTCTTGTCATTGTTGTAACCTGAGGGGGAAAAAATAAGCATCTTTGTGATGTTCTAGCAGACTTTTGACAATGTTTCTGTAGTCTCTGTCTGCAAAACAATTAAGATAAATTTCTTTGATTTTATTTTAGTATCAATAATTTTAAATGCATTGGAGTATGATGTCATTAGAAATAGATAGAATGTGCAGAGGAAAAGCATCACGACTCGAAAGTTTGTGTTTGCAGAGTTCTGTTTAATCAGTTATATAGAGATTACCCAGCACTTCACTGGTGCAGGAAGTCACTGGCAGAGGTGACTTGCCTGATAAAATGACTCAGACTTCTTCCATTTTGCTGCCAGAAAACCTGATTAAACAAACATATTTACTTTTTGCAGCTAGATACAAGTGACTTGCATGTGTTGCATAAGCAAAGTATGAATATGTAGGAAGATGGTGATGTGCAAAACGGGTGTATTGAACACAATGCTGTTGTATTCTGTAAAATTTTTACCATTCTCCTGTTGCTTTGTATCAATAGTATTTTGTTCCAAAAGAGGATGAGATATCACAGTCAATTTGTACAAGTAACTGTTTTGAACAAATCTGTAACACAGTTTGAGATTTTGCTTTAATATAGTATGAAGACATTTTCAGTTCTGTGGAAACACCTTTCTCATTTCTTTTTATTTCCTGTGTGTGGCACATTCCTTATTTTGCCAGGAGGCCTTTAAAAAGTGACTGCCACTTCCCAGAAAAGACCTAGGATGCAAACCAGTGTGTACAATTCATTGTTTTCTGAACTGCAGAATAGAGTAACAAAAATGAGCAGAGAAAGTAAATTTTCTGGCTTGAAATTCTAGGATGATGTTGTGTTGTATCACTGAATGCAAACTTCTGTTACTGTTTTCCATACCAAAGCATTGAGTATTCCATGAATGTAATGCTGTGTTCCCTTCCTTCCAGGAGCAAATATTCTGCGGGATTCAGCAGGCAATGTGAAGCTTGGTGACTTTGGTGCCAGCAAACGACTGCAGACTATCTGTCTCTCTGGTACAGGAATGAAGTCTGTCACAGGAACTCCCTACTGGATGAGTCCCGAAGTTATTAGTGGAGAAGGATACGGCAGAAAAGCAGACATCTGGTACGTTAAAAAAAAACTTCTCTACTGAAAAGTGTAATTTCATTTTCAACAGTGTAGGTGTTTGTTTTCTGAAGTTGGAGTGTTTCATTCTGGGGTGTAAGCTGAAGAAGGTGGTAAATGTGAGCACTGACAATAGAGAGCCTAACACTGAAATTCAGGAATTTTTACCTGGCAACTTCTCAGCCTGTCAGTTTAGAGATCGTAAGAGAATCCTTTGAATTGACCTTGCGTGAAGTTAGGATTACCAGACTGTTCCTAAATTCTGGAGAGGTACTGGGTGAAAACAATACGTGAAGCTTTGAAACATCAGTTTGGTCAATGTTGTATAATGAAACTTCACCACTGAAATACCTTCGATGCAAGGCAGAAAGTTTAACACTTAAGAGCAAATTAACCAGATTTAAGTGGGAGTATCAAAAAAATTTGGTTTAAGTTGTTATTAACTACTTAAGAGGTAAAGGTAATTTTCAAACATGAACGTTAGCAAAACATTGCGTAAAGCCAATCTAACATGGCTCCAGCTCCAATGAACAGATGACTGTAGTGATTTGACTTCTTGAACTGCAGGTGATCTGTGAACATGGACTAATGGGCAGGCAGCAGTACATGTGCAGGAGTAGTAACACTGTGTTTAAAAAGGAATCACATTATATCCAACCAATCGCAATACTTCTAACCTCAGGGAAATTACTTTAGGCTAGTTCAGGTCACTTAGTAATTAGTCTGCTATACTGGAATAATAGACCAGCCTTACAGATTTCAAGCAGTTGACTTGTTCAGCTTTAAAGTATTTGTGCCACAGTTAATGTGTATGTTTTGGTTGAAAAAATCTGGGGTAAAACTTAAGAAAAAATAGTGAAGTTTGACTTCTGTCAGTGAGTAAATCCTTACTGTGTAAGGCGACATAGCTCTGTCTAACAGAAAAAATTCTTGCAAGTATCTTGAAAAACAGTCAGACTTCCTGAGAATTGGAAATTATTCCAGCCTATCCATTTTGCAGTATCATTCACTTGTTATTGGAAGGGGCTGTCTTTCAGGACTTCTGGAACAAAGTTTCTCTGGCCATATATATGCCCTTCTGTTTTCCTAAGTCCTTTAAACATAAACTTTGTATACAAAGATTGATTAGGGTCTTAAAATTTTGTTTGGCAATCTAAATTTATTTTTAGTATCCTTGACTAAAAGAGGAAGATACCACAAAGAAGGGTTTTCAAAATTTTCAACTGCCATACTATGTTTGCTCATTATTCACTGGTGAGAACTTGTGCATTTCTAATGAGCAACACACACAGTGTGCTTGGAGAATTCCTGATGCTTTGCATTTCTGTTTGGCCTCAAGGAGCAGGAACATTTCCAAGTGCTGTGCTGCATGCATGACTTTGTCAGCCTGCTGAGCACTGAGTGCTGGCAGTGCCAGTAACGCAGTTGGTATTGCCTGGATAATATCTAATTAGCTCTTCACTGAGGTGTAGTGGCTTTTGGCCCAGTGAAGTAAAAAAGTGGAGATGCAGGTAGTGATTTGTGTAACTTTGAGATAAAGGCATAGCAGTACATGCTATTTTTTTTCAATGCCTGTTTTCCGCTGAAGTTGCTCTGTAGTGTTAAGTGGACGCTACTTGTTTGTAGTATTTTAGTTCCTCTCTGCTATTTCTTGTTTTCCTAGAAGGGCGTGACTCTGTTCTAACCTGCTGTTTCACTTCTGCCTCTGTTTCAGGAGCGTAGGTTGCACAGTGGTAGAAATGCTCACGGAGAAGCCCCCGTGGGCAGAGTTCGAAGCCATGGCTGCCATCTTTAAAATTGCCACTCAGCCAACCAACCCCCAGCTGCCACCTCACGTCTCTGACCATGCTCGGGATTTCTTGAAACGGATTTTTATTGAGGCCAAGCTGCGACCGTTTGCAGATGAACTGCTAAGACACACGTTTGCACACTATCACTAACACCTGCCTCAACTCGGCTTGCATCTACTGCATTTATTTTCTATTTGACTGCACTTTTATTTTTATTTTTTACAAAGAAAAAGGAGAAAAAAAGACAAGAGAGAGAATATTCTCTTGAATCTTTGTTTCACTTAGATTGTAAACAATCTAAATTTTGTATCTAAAATGAGAATCTTCTCTCCCCTCCCACCCCACCAGGACTAGAACTTTTTGTTTCTATAATGTACTGATGTGGTTGATGTAGATAAAGCACTTTAGTACATATTTGTTCCTTATTTAACGGGGAAAAAAACCGACAAATGCTTGGACAGTCAGGAACTGTGTGACTTTTTCTGACACCGCTGACTGACTCAGGGTGCAGGGAAAAATAGACATGCAGCTAAAGGACAAGAAGATTACTTCTCTGTGATTCTTCTCTATTGTAGGTACTTGCAGCAGAGAGTTCTAACTTCTTATTATATTTTAGCATTTTAATCAGTTTCTGGAATTTACAGTTTAAGCTGGAATGTGCAGTTCTGAGAGTTAAATGACGAGACTGGAAGAACTTGGAACTCTTTGTATGTACAGCAGTGTGTCTAACTGGTACTTCTATGTGACCAAAAGAAAATAACAAAATGAGCTCAAAACTAGTTAGAGGTTTTGGTGTAGAATTATTGTATTATCTTAATAGGAAAATAATTACAGGTAAACAGATTATAGGCCCAAACACCTAGGTACTACCATACTGCAAGGGGAAAATTTCCATACTAGACAAGGGTCAGCTATTGGATGTAAATAGTTAGGAGAATGTCTCCTGCTCTATCTGCCAAAGAGAACCTCTGTTGCATAAGCTTAGAGGGAGACGGTTATCTTAGCTGATAAAAAATAGTGATGTTGAGAGTCAGTTCTCCACAATCCCTTGAATGGCTGGAGGGGAAAGGAAGGGACTAATCCTTGTGCAGTATATGAGTTACTTGATTCAGAATGAGCTACAAGAAATGTTTTCAAAGCTGTTAAGAGGCGCTAGGATGGAATGTATGTCAACATCAAGTGCCTGAATAATAAAAAATTCTTCCCATTGTGCACTAAAAAAAATTGGTTTAGTAACGCAGGTCAGTCATCTAGATGTGTTGAAAATTCCTGAAAGTTAAACATCTTTGAACATCAGGAATAAGTCACTGAGAAAGGTAAGACTCCAGTTATATTTTTAATAAGGTAACACTGATGAATCCTCATGAACAGGAAGGCACAGCACAGAGAACTGTATGAAGAATAGGCCAAAAGTGCAAAGAGAGCCAGCAGTTAAATAACATGAGTGTGATTACTCTATCCTGAGAATCCAGATGATTGGTATTTGTCAGATTTCCAACAGTCATAAAGCATACGTTAATCACTTTTTCTATTTCTGAAAGAGCATAATAAAAGAACAGAAGTAAAACTCTGAAATAATGCTTCTCAGTCGAGAAGCCCAGGTACTGATCAGGTGTAGTGAATAACTGACTTTTCACAGCAGAAGAGTCAGACTCTCATATTTTTGTAGAAGAACAGAACATAATTTAAAGGGGCATTTGGAAATAAACTATTGGACTACAGAACTGAAATTATGTTTATTGTTTTGGATGATTCATTGCTTGCTTTTGTTGTTTTGTAAAGGCAGAGTGGGCTGGTACTGTAACCCTTGTCCACTCTGACAAGGCTCTACCTATTCTATATCTTTAGAGGACTATCAGAGTGACGAAGTGCATGGAGATAGAACAATAAGCTTACCCATTCCCACAGTCATTTATGAGATTTCTGAATTTATTCTGCTAAATTCCAAATGTTGTACCAGAGCATAAGCAGGAGTATGGATCTATCCTAATCACTTTCCCTGTAGTGGAGTAAGAATGACTTTTTTGAGGCCATCTCTCCCGAGACAGAGTGGTGACTTCTTCAGCTTATGTGAGTATTTTACCCAATTTATAATTTTTTCGGTCAGCATACACAACTGTGCAAAGTTTCCTGAGCATGGAAAGAACTAGTCAGATCAGGAAAAGTGTAGGAGGCTGAAAGGAAAGTCAGCTTGTACTGACTTCTTTTTTGCTTCTCAGTCACTAGATAAAAGCTGTGAAGCAGTTTTTAAGGAGAATTGGTATATGCTCTACTCTAGAGGACCTTTGCTTTATAAGCAAAATGTAGGGACAGTAGGGATGGGAAGTTTAGTGTAGAACCTAATAGTTTATGACAGTAATTTAAAGATCATATAGTTGAAATGATTGATTTCAAACAGATTAAGAAGGTACTAAACTCAAGGTGAAAATGTATATAAAAATCAGTAGTGGTCAGTGATATCTGAAAAGGTAAGGAAATTTTATACTACCAAAAAGGGACATTAAAGGGAAAATGTAACCAGGTTTATCTGTAGCATTCATAACGTTTAGCTATACTATTCTAAAGAGAAACTGCACTCTCTGAAGCTTGAATATTTTCAGAATCTAGTTTTCTTATAATGTGTCCTTTCTGTGAGACAGTGCTGGGTCATGTATATTGCAATATCACTTCCTCATTGTGACTTTTAATTACTGAACAATCAAGTTTGCTGCTTTTGTGCCTTTTCTAAAAAATGGCATTCAGTCATGACAATGGTCAGTGTTTTGGAGCCAGGAAAAAAAGAATTTTCAGAATGCATTTTTCATCATGTCTTTAACATGTCAGAAAGCTGCCAACGTGAAGACTGTCCTGCTTAGATGAAGTGGACATTTCTCAGTTCCAGTGATTCCAGTAAAATTTTATGAATTTAACCAAGTTTAGGCTTGAGCTAGGGCTTTTTCACCCTATGGAGAATTTCTCTACTGACTTAAGTTGCTTAACTTAGAGTAAATGAGATGTAAAGATCCCTGCTCACAACTTCTTGTATGTCACTTAAAAGGCCACCAGCATTTTAGAATCATGAATTAGTCCTAATTATTGAATTCAATTACAAGAAAATGCCAGTGAAAGCAGTAATGTTGCAGGGTTGGTTTGCTTTTCTGTAAACACCACAATGAAGCTGTGCTCTCAAAAAATAAGGATCGGTGTTCATGGTGAGTATGTCTATTTTCAAAAGACCTACTTATCTGCTAATGCATTTTAATATGCTGTCTGTTGCACGTGTTAAGTAACAAAATTTAAGCTACTTCTGTGGTATGGTTTTAATGATGTAACTAACAGTCCTGTTAGAGGATGACTCAAAGTTTCAGTTGTGTTGTGTTAGAGCAAGTTGTTTATTTTTAATTTGGGTGATAGAAATATCCATGTAAGAACTCAAAAAGGTATGGATCTAATAATTGCAAAGTTAAATCTGCGTAGTCTTTTTTTTCTTGACAATTTAAATATAGTCTTAAAACTGCAACTTGACTTTCAACGTGATTTGTAGCTAAATAGTCCTTTCAGTATAACAAAATGAAAAGGGTTTTTTTTTAGCTAGTGCCTTTTTATCTGTATGCCTTAATTTTTATTCATGTTAGAACACCATATCGAAATATGTCATACAATTCCATGTCACCAAAGCAGTCTTAGAGGATGGATTTTTTCAATGTGCCCAAACAAGAGTTCGCTTAACTGCATTGAAAAGTGTACTTGAGTTATCATGTGCAGCAAACGTTTAAATTCAGAATTTTAAAGTGATTTCTGGCTTCCTGTGTTAACACAGGTTTTGTATTTGCATTCTGGAGACCATAGACTGATGCACATACCAGAAAGAGGACTTGTCTGCAGTCACAGAAATAACAGAGTCAGGATTTGCCTTCCTGGGTCTGGGTACCAGACTCTGCAGCGGAGTTTTTAATGGGCTTGAAATTGTAGTTGTAAGGCTGTTTACTTTCAGTGCACAGGAATACAGTATGTCCAAGCAAACCAACAGATTTCTCAATGAGATTAGCATGGTGCCAATGAAACTCTTTCCTGTGCCTTTTGGATAATCCTAATCCTGCCGTTGTCTTGACTGAAAGCCTCGTAGCACTTGTAGGTACAGCGCAGTACAGCAAGCCATTCTTTGGACAACATAGAGTGATGTCTTAACTGCAGCTTCAGAGACTTGAGCAAATTGGTCAGATCTACAGTTATTTATAACCAATTTCATACTTTTTAATCTTGAAAGACTTTGTCACGCATATAGAAAAGTATAATGTGTGTGCTTGAATGTAAGTCCCTATGATGTTTCTGGAAAAGCGAAAGTATTACTGCCGTTGTAATTTCTTCTTGCTGGTAACTTGCTATCTTGTGTCAATGACAAGTCTGCAGTGTAGAATCACGTACAATTACCAAAGCTTTTCTATTCCGTATACATATAGCCAAAAGTGATGTTTCATGGATTAGTACTGTCACTTATAGATAGTGTATATCCACCAGTAGGCTGTCGCTGACTGAGTAAAGCAGGTACTACTAAAAAGTGATAGACACTGCCCATGTTTCAGAGATATGGGTGTTCATAGTTGCTGTTCTGATATGCAAAATTCATGCCCGCGTTAAAATGAAGAGTTTTCTTTTTAAAGCTCTTTCTAATTTAATCTTATTGTTGTAATTCTAAAACTAATGCATAAGCTTGGTGACTAAACCTGGTGACTTCTATAGCTGGGTTTGAGCTTTGGGACATTTAAGGAATGCCATGAAGATGGATTTGTGACCTAACCTGCTTTGTGCGCCATAGTGAGAACATTCCAAAGCTGCTGGGACGCAGTCAGTCCTCTCAACATGACAGTCAGATGTCACCCACAGTTCCCTACCTGGGTGTTGGTGATGCCTTCAGGAGGAGCCACTAATGCACACCAAAGGGTCAGGCAGAATTTCTCCCAGCCCGCATCTTCTGAATCAAAATCCATGATCAGAAAACAAAGGAGCTCCTTTCTCTGTTTATTTCCCCCACTTAGCCTGCATGATTTATTTTTCCTTCTAGCTGACAGAGCTTAAACACTGCATAGGTGGTGGCCACCGATAGCTCCTGAAAAAGGTGTGTGTACAGCTTTAGATCAGGGGTCCTGTCATTTGAACCCAGGACGCTGCAGCTCCTGGGTTCCTGGAGCAATCCTTGGGTTTTCTCTAGCAATATATACACGCATGGAGTTTGAGGGGTAGGTGGGATGGAGGAAATAAAAATTCTCCCATTTCAAAGCAGTCACGCCTTGGCTAGGACTAGGTTTTCGTAAACTTATTTTAAAGGGAGAGGAACTGGATTAAAACAGATCAAAGTTGTATCTCATGGTTCAGCCCTTATGTTGAGTCCACAGATGAGGATTGGAGGTCAGGGTCTTCTGCTGAGAGATAAAGAAAAGGATACTCCAACTCTGGGGTGGATAATCATGGCAAATAGAGTTTTTTCATGCTTTTTACCCTAGAACTAGATAATACTTTTCCCCAGAGGTTTATATAATGTGATATAAAAACAAGGATTGCATTTTTTTTTGAACAGCCATTAGATTGTTGGTTCCCTAGTGTTTGCTGCTTGTTAATACCCGTAAAAAAGGTGGTGTCAACTTAAAATTGGAATGGTTTATTAAAATATAGTGTCTGTCATCTCAGACCTCACAGGAGTTGTATAATGGAGTATCACTGTAAATACGTGGAGGAGACTTAGATTAATTGGAACGTAGGCTTTTAGTTTTCATGAAGCTATGAATAAAAATTTGTAAATTTACTCTTGATCTAATGTACATTTTTATGTAGCCATTAAATTCTCTATTTAATCTATCAGTTTCTCACTGTAAATGTTTTTACTCTCAGTTGAATGCTGGGCACAGTTTGTAATGTATGTACACAAAGGTGTTTTTTTTCTATCAACGTTGACTTTTTTGCACATTTTTGGAAATATTTAATTTGTACACTGATTTAATACTCTGACCAATTGTCAGTGGGTGTATGAGAATCACGTGTGTGTGCAATGTACTACTGTCTGGATGTATGGTTTTTTTATTACTTTTGAGATGTTGCTACCAGTAACTGCACTGCTGTTGCTGCTTTACATGGAATATCTTGTGTTTAAAAAAAAAGATAAAAAGAATTAAACAATTAGCCTATGGTTATCATGGTTGAGGAACTCAGGAGTTGGGCATTGCTTACTAGTTCCGTTGTCTAACAACCTTCCAAACTTAAAAATGAACAAACAACCCCCCCTTGTAATTCTGTGTATGCATTGAATGTGTGTGTATATATCCCAGTAATCTTATTCCACAGTTTCATTTCTACATTTTTATGAACTTGTTTTTTAAGGGTACTATGTTTAGTTAGAATAATTAAATATATAAAAGCTTTGAGAGATGATTTACTAGATAAATATATTTTCAGCTGGCTGATGTTCAAAATATTTTTTTAATTTTTGTTTTTAACCATTCGAAATGTATTTGTATTTCCAAAATCAGACACGAATTGTACTTAGAAATATATTAAAACACTCTGTAGGGACAACAGTGTGATTTCTCTTTTAAGAACCCGTACTTCATAACATCGCGCAATGTCACTCTCGTACCTCACTTCCGAGTTGCCCTTTGCATTGTTATTCACAATGCACTTTGCGGAAGCCTCTATTTAGTTTATTAATTTTTAATTATTTTTCTCTTTTCCCTGACACGAGGCTGCCCCGGAGGCCCTG